AATATTTTCCAGCTTCCAGCACCTTTTCTTTATAAGGCAGGAACTTTCTCTTAAACCATACTAAACAACATTTACTCATATTTCTGTGCGATTTGAGTCCCATTCACAGGTACTTTGCTTTCCCTGTCTAACAAATTGGGATGCTAGACTTCCGACTCCAGGATGAATATTCTGTCATCTGATGGAATCCCAGGCATGCTGAAGTTATGTAGACATAGGACTAGATCCACTGAAGGATTTAGCTATCATAAAATGAAGAATCAAATAACCTCTAACAGAGAGGTTAACTTGGCTTCTGGCCATGTTCCACCAGCACTTTATCTTGAGGAGCTGAATTAAAGAGGATCAGGATTATGACCTCAGTCCCTGTACTCTCTCCTCCTTGTGGGGTATAATGATATTAGATATTCACCAGCTTAGATAATTTCAGGGTGAAGGCTTTGTAATCTAAATTGTAGTTGAAGAACAGCTTGCTGAATAACAGCAAGCAACAATTAGGTACCCACTCGCTTGGCCAGACAAGCAGCCTTTAATACACCAGGTGAAAATTGAAGCAGTTTGAAACCTAATTTGGAAGGGGATCAGATAATTACCTTTATAGTGGCAATGTCCATCAGGGGAGCAAATGGAAATAGTTACAGAGTCTGTTCTCCAGTTGTACAACACCGGGTCACATCTGAGTCACCATGTCCTTTTTTAGCTTTAATTCCATTCAATTTTGTAACAGTCAGTTGATCAAAAGAAGAATTCAACAGTAGTTGTCCTACTGAGGAAGAGCCCCAGAGCAGCAGAAAGTTAAAAGCGTAAGTCAATGAACTTAGCAGTTGCTAGTATTTATTAATCTCAAATCAACCCATTTCTTCAATTCAATGAATCTTTCAGCTACCACTGTGCTTTACATTCATTTGTGAAGTTCTTAAATTTAGTCTGATTTATTTCTTTCTGCAGCCCCACACCACTTTTGCCAGTTAGCATTATCAACTCCATCCTACAGAAACAGACCTCAGGTGCAAAGAGGCCTGATGCTTTCTTTGTACCTGATCACGCTGAATGATTGGGAAAAGTTTGGAATTAATGTCAGCTCTTCAGACTTTCTGCCCTCTGCTTTAAAACTTGTTCCTTACCTATAGAGACGGGAGTAAATGTAGATAAGGCTCTAGTGCATATGAACTTTTCTGTATGTTTTTTTTCCATCACTAAGCCATCTGCTTGACGTTTTATACAAGAGGTTCCATGAGTTGGAATGGAAAGGAGGAGAACTGTTAAAGATTCTCTGTCAGCCTAACCTACTTATAACCCCCAAAGCAACACCCCATCAGCACTGGGAGGTATGTGTGAGACTAGATATTTTTCAATTATGCATATTTTATTTTTATTTAAAAATCCTTCTTTCCTTTTAATTTAATCTTCCGCTGTGCTCACATCACAGCTATGTTTTACAGAGCACCAACCATTTCATCAAAGCCTGAATTTGAAAGTAGCAGCTTTGCCATACAGACTGATTTGTTAGCAAAGGATAAATCAACATGGCAGGCAGAAATACAGTGGAGATTATAACACAAATGGCAAATGTGGAAGGCCTCCCAAGTGGGAGGGATTTGGTGTTGTAGGGGGAAATGAATGATTTATGGTGCAGAAAAGAGAAAGTTTCCTTTGTGGTGATGTTACATTGCCTTTAAATGGAGTAGGAGGGTGAGGGAAGAAGAAAGAGTGAAGCAGAAAAAAAAAAAAAAGTTGTTTTAGTTCTAAGACATACAGCGTACAATGCTTTTCTTTTCGAACGACTTTGCCACTAAGAATTTATTTTGAGAAGCATTTTTCATGGGTTTGTATTGAAGGAAAGGAATAGTCTGGAGAATTTCCTAACATATTTATGAATTGCTAATATGCATGAAATATGAGGGCTAGACCACAAAAATTAACACAAACTGGAATATGCATGTACTCAGACAGCTACTAAGCAGGCAATTAAATTAAGGAAGTCAAAGGTATAAACCAATCCTAAATCTCCTTAAGAAAACACTTTCTCCTTAAGGCAGGCATGAGCTAGGTATTTTACATATCCAAATAATTACAAGTCTAGTAACAGCTGCTTAATTCTCAGCAACAGATTAGAGACTCCACAATACAGAATGGTTTGTGCCCTGCTCACAGACCTCAGAACTCCTGCAGATGGATCAGCTGTTGATCCAGGGGCTTGATACCATCAAGTCCACATCATGAACTAAAGGCACAGGCTCTGATGAAACTGTGTTCTGTCCAGACTATCCTGTGCTGCTTAATTCAGAGTTTTCAGGAGTTAGTTACCCTGCTTTAATTTTGTTTTGTTTGTAGAGTACTCAAATCAAGGCAATGCCTCAGTACTGTCAACACAATTAAAACAATATGGTCAATAAATGCCTTTACTGGAAATACAATCATATTCCATGCTTTTTTGTATCTAATGTAAATGCCTGAATTAGCACCTAGCCTTCATACAGGCTACATGCAGGACAATTAGGGATGCTTCAGATACTCCTCTAAGATTCAACTCACAAAATAGAGAGATGAAATGCCTAATTTGGGCATCTCCTTTAAATGCATAACTGACCCCCGTGTTTACTACTGACAGGCTCTTTACTGAGAATGCTTTACAGGCACAAGGAGTGGAAAGAAGTAAAAGGCAAACTCAAATATTTTGCTTTGCCACAGCAAACACAATTCACATAAATTCATTCTGGGAACATAACAGTGGCTATAATGAGCCAGATCAAAACTTCACTGGACTCTATATTCTATCACTATCAGGGAATGGTAACAGATACCTAGAGAGATCCTAGAGTACATCTAGTGAATAATAAGATGGTAAACAGATAGTGATAATCCCCACACCTTCAATATATGCCCCAGCCCCCAGTATACTATGTTATTATATTCTTACAGGGCAAACAAATATAAACCCTACTTCCTTTCAGCAGCAGCATTCCCTTCTTTAATTCATTTTATCATCATCTTGTGAAGTGCTGTAAAGATGATTGTAGCTCATTGCTCAAAGGAGTGTATTTTATTGACCATATTTAGTCTAAGAGAAAAGATAAATCTTTAACAAGATGTTTGCCAACCATGTAAAGTCTTAGTTTTTTGAGTATTTTTTTTTGACTCGGAGGTGGTCAGATTATGAGAACATGCAGAGTTCAAAGTTGGCCTCTTTTCTACAGAAATCACATGTTCTGTATCCTGACCACATACCAAACTACAGTGGTGATCCCATGGTGTGAATATATGCTCATTCTTAAAAACTGACCTATTATCACCCAGCTCACTGTATCAGGATTATCAAGCAAGTACCAACAGATAGCTTTCAACAAGCAAAATCTCAGGCAACATTTGATTGCCATACTGCATTTAGACAACAGCCTCAGACATATAGGTTAATTTTCAGGTAGTCTTGCATAGAGGCAGGAGTTGGACTTGATGATCCTTGTGTGTCCCTTCCAACTCAGGGTTATTCTATTATTCTAGGATTCTATGAACTTATAATGCTCTCTGTGGTACCACCACAGCTTCAGGCCAGTCTGTTCCCAAATAAAATTTCTAAACAATAATTCTGAAACTCCTGAAAATGCTGCTTGTTTACCTTCATAAACTTAACTGAAACTCAATTCTGTAAAGTGATTTACACCAGTTAAAGGATTTAATCATCCTTGGAACTTTACTAATTAAAATTGTAGAATCATTTAGGTTGAAAAAAATAAATAAAGTCCAACCATCAACCTGACCTACTGAGTCCCATCGCTAATCCATGTCCCTTAGTGCCACGTCCACACATCTATTGAATACCTCCAGGGATGGCAACTACCACTTCAATGGGCAGCCCGTTGCAATGCTTGATCACCCCTTCTGTGAAGAAATTCTTCCTGATATCCAGTCTAAACCTTCCCTGGCACAACTTGAAACCATTTCCTCACATTCTATCACTTGTCCTCTGAGAACCCTCTGAGCACCCTGGCTGGTCTCCAACACCAGCTGCAGCCTCCTTTCAGATAGTGAATGATGAGGTGTCCCCTAAGCCTCCTTTTCACCAGACTAAAAATTCCCATTTATAAATTAAAAATTCAATTTATAAATTAAAAATTCCAATTATGAACCATTCCTTGTAAGTCTTGTCTTGCAGTCCCTTCAACTGAATGAAATGTCCAGTCCCTTCATCTGAATGAAATTTAAATCTGTCTACTTTTTGGAAAACTCCTTTTTTTTCATTAAAAACAAACAAACAAAAAACAATGCTAAGTATTTTAGCACAGTCATAGTAAATCATCATTATGCTATTTAATTTTTATCAGTATTTTTCTGAAATGCACTCACCAGATCCATCTCAAAATGAATGAATGATTCTTATGATAAAAATCATCAGTTATTCAAATGGTTAAAATATTAATCCTAAACCAGGGAATAAGGCAAGAAAAATCAAAATCTTCAGCTTCTTACTGTAAAGGTTCAGCAATTCATTTCCATCTTACATGAATAATTTGAGCTACCTCTGTTGGGGAAAAAAAAAAAGCCTCCTAAATCAAGCTCTAGTTAGAAGGAATGCTGTCAGTATATAGAGGAAGACATGAACAAAGATTCCCAAGTTCTTACCTTCACTGACATACAGCCTCACAGCCTACTCAGGCCTGTTTCCTTGTTAAAATCAAGGCCTCATTAATCACAAGGCCTCATTAATCATAGACTACAGTGAATATAGCTAATAGCAGAATGGGAGGAGCTGTGTGACAAAAGTATTTCCATACTCAGAACAGAAAATGTCCATGTTTGACTCCGATTCTTGGAGAAAACATGTGGTTTGCTTTTAGTATAATATGAAACAAGGATGAAAACATTCATATTTGTATTCTCTCGGTTTGCTTCCAAAAATCTTTTATTTTAATCCCATGTAATAAAATTAAAGAACAGGAGTCAATGTGAAAAATATTACTGTTACCCTCTGATCAAATTGTTCATCCAAAAATATCACTTACTCCCTCTGTAATGTTGCTGCAGTTCTTAGAAATAGTAGACAGCTTCTGAATGTGTTTTTCAATCACTTTTCTCCTCTCTCTTCATCAGTGACCTGAGAAACACAAAAAATCCCCACTGGAGGAGCTACAAAAATCCATTTCTTTTATAGAAGGCAACTTAAAAAATAATACATTGCCCTCTTCCCCTCCACAACCGCATGCCAACAGAGGGGAAAAAACATCAAATATTAAGATAAGAATACTGACTAGGTAAGAATTAACTAAATTATGCAAGAAAATGAGTGCCAACAACAGAGGAAAAGAGAAGTAACTCAAACTTAGATTTCAAAAGAGGGGATGTTTGTGAGAAGGAATGATTGAATGCAGCAATAAAGAGAGAATTGAGACAATAACTAGAGGCTGTATAGCTGGACACATTTAAAGCAAAAATAGAGTCATTCTCAATATAAACATAAAAGTGGGAGTGGAGGGTGTGAGAGTCCATTGCAGCAAATGTCCAATATAAATTCTGTAATAAAACCATAGCATCTGGATTTTACAGTGCAAACATCAAACTGTAAAGGTCTGACTGGGGCAGTCCTGGATCTGAATACCATCTTGCTCTTTCAAGAAACCTATGTGTATATGGTACTTATAAAGCCCAGAAAACATTTCTTAAAGATACATGATCCCAAATGGGGAATAACTCAGATAAATATAGCACTAGATAAGTCATCTCAGGTTTTACACAAATGGCCCAACGTATATTGGGGCATGTTTCCAAAAATTGCAGTTCGTTATTTACAGACACTAGGGTCAAATGAACAAGTCATTATTTCCAGCAATTTCTAACTCTAACTGCAGGTTACTTTTTGATCTGTTGGAAACAATTTTGCTAACTTGGAGCTTTTGTTGGTTGCTTGCTTCTCTACTTTTTGAACACTTTGTGTATTCGCTTATTGAAAAAGCAACACAAGAATTCTGATGAGAGATAGGTCACACTTCATGTTTCAAGTGAATAGAAGTAACTTTTCAAAGCTGGTTTCCAAGTCAAAAGGTTCAAATATGAATTTTATTTTTGCTTTCCTGTAGTATTTGTGAGGACAAAAGGTCATTCTAAGAAATGCCTCCTGCTAGGATTATAGTATTTATGGATTATAAATTCTCAGGTGGTGGAAACAGAGCTGCAACATGTTTAATAAAAACAGACAAAATACCCACAGAAAATAACTGAAAGGATTTCTCTGACTCCTTCATATGCACAGGTGGGTGGACTTGGTCCTTGAAGAATGCGCTGTTCTACCTCACATACAAGCTCCTCAGATTTCCATCATTCATTCCATATTCCTTCACCTACTCTCCCTCCTTGAGCTTTTCTCACTTTGTTTTTTCTCCCTTGTATGTGGTGTCATACAGACTTTCTTTTCTCCTTCTATGCCTCCTTCTATTTAGGAAAATTCTATAAATAGTTCAGAGGGGATCATCCTTCACAATTAAAGACTTAAGGAGCTCAAACCACTCCAAAACTTCATTACTGAACATTTCATTATTGTCTATAATCATCTTTACTATCAAATGATAGTTTCTGGTTAGAAAGATGAGCAATCTGGAAAATTACTCTTACAAATTGAGCATACAACAAAACTAACAAAGCACTGGAATAAGACTAAGGCACGTGGTAGATTCTCTATGACATGAATATTTAAATCAACGTCATCCACAACTTGTGTTCCCAACAACAGTGTTGAATAATGGCATTCTACTGCCTATGTTATCCAGAAGTTACAGTTAGCTGGACATAATAGGTTCTTCTGGACTTTAAGTGTAAAAGTTCTTCTAATCAAGTTCTTCTAATCTTCCAACCAAGCTTTCCATGATATTATATAAATAGGTCATGACACATGAGATGAATGCTCTGTGAGATAACACCTTCTTTTCTTTGTTATAGAACAGCTATGATCCTGAATTGCGTGTTGAAGGAAGGCAAAGAAAGAAAAAAAATATCTGATACACCCCCCTTTCTATGTTTAATGCTACAATAATCAGGTACGCCTCTAACTGGAAATTTATAGCAGCAGACATGATCATCTCTCTATCCAGAATATATCTGGTTTTAGAATCTTACATTGGATTCTTTTGAATTGCAGCCCATTACATGTGCTATATGGCATCATGAGTTTAATCTAGCACCCACTGAAGTGAGTAGAAGTCACTCATTAACTCTGATACCAGACTACTCAGTCACCAGAACTTGAGCTTTATATATGATCTTTACAAGCAACTTCTGAAGACTATGTATTTCTGTGTGTATACACATGCTCCCACCAATGCATTCTATCTTGAATTCTACATGTATATATTTCTGTGCCAGTGCAAAGATAGGTGTAACTGCCTGTTACGTACACTGAACCAGCAAGAGAGTTGCCCCTTTACCCTTTGCTGATGAAAAATAAATATCCCATTTACATTCAAATGCCAGAGTGAGCAGAAGCAGCAGATCAATCTGGATTGATATGGTGGTGAACCAAAGTTTAAAAGTTCCTCCTTTCCTAAATTCTTCCCTTTGTCCCCAGCAGTCACAGTTCTTTGATGATTTCAGTGACTGGGTCTACAGCCTCAGCAGTATAGTTGTATCGGAAGAGCTGAGATGTGTCAGAGGCAGTTCCTAATAGCTTAGAGGGACAGAACAAGCAAAATGGATTCCTTCAGCCTCGTTACCAGCTTCGTTACCAAAGCTAGCAATGAAATAAAAAGAGAGAGATGGAGTGATGAAGAGGCAGCAATGGCAAGGACTCCCAAAGTAGGATGGTATCATGGTGTCTCTATCATAGTTTCAAAGGATTAGAGCAACTACACGGGGGTCTCTGGCAGATGAACGTATTCTTTTACAGGTAGATGAGAAGACTTGGGATAAAGCACCCAGGGAGACATCTTTTTAATAAGGGAAAAATTGATATGCCTATTAACCTATTCCTTACATCTTTGTTTTCAATTTTGAACCTAGCAGCCTGATGGATCCTATTGGATCCTTTTTATTATTATGACTCTCAGTTTTGTGGTGGTGTCAGGTACACAGAGTCAAGCTGAGCTCCAAAGATATGAACATCAGATGAGGCAGTACACACAACGAGATGTGAGGAATCAGCACTGTAAGCCCCACAGTTTCTATTTGACTATTGGGTTGCTAAATAAAAGCAGCAAAAATATTAAACCATAAACATTCATGCTTTCTGAGATCTACACTGCCATCCCTCCTTCTTGTATGAAAAAATATATATTTGACTAGTTAAATTCAAGTAAGATATATGTCTAGTTTGTTGGTCCATTTTGTTGTCAGGGAACCCTGATGTTAACATTTCTAAATAACTAGATCCATGTTATGATTCCTCATAGAGAATAAGCAAGCAGTATAATGCCTTTTGGCCCTCAGCTATTGTAACAGCATTTTTGAATGTTGCTTTATTGACCCATCAATAACTATTCAATGTTAACTCCAGCAGAAATGTACTGGAGAGAGAGATGATCATGTCTGCTGCTATAAATTCCCATTTTGAGGCACATTTGATTATTGTATCATCGAACATGAAAAAGGGGGTATACCAGCAATACTTATCTTTTTTTGCCTCCCATCAACAGGCAGTTCAGGATCATGAGCTGTTCACAAAAGCAAAACCACATCAAAAAAAGACAAGTTTTAAAAAAAAAAATCACTGTTGCTGTCAGCCTGCAGCTATTATAAATGAGTAATTTATAAGCATGTAATTTACAGAATGTGTGTAGAAGCACATTTAATGCTGATACAAAGACATCTTAGATGTTTAATGAGGTTTTTATAGCATATTGTGCTAAGTTTAATGCAGGCATGTAGGTATACCTTCCTCAGCAATCACTAAGGATTGGTTAAGGGTGTTTTCTTTCTTCTGATTGTAAGTCTGAAAAATATGCATTTAAATAGGACCCTAGGTAAATTTACATAATTATTTCAAATCTGTCAATGTCTATTCTTTGGATATGATCATTCTGTAATGTGTGGAGGTTACATTAGTTATGAGGGATTTTTGTTGTTGTTGTTGTTGGGTTTTGTTCTTTTTTTTCTTTCTTTCTTTTTTTTAACTAACAATGTTACCATGATTAGAAAACAAATACTCTATTTAATGGATGGCTTGATCTTTCAGGAAAATGCTGAGAGGCATCCAAGGGAGAAAGGTCTACTTACCATAAAACACATTTTCAGTATATTTATTTGTTTTTTATTATTATTTATTTATGTATGTGCATTTGCATGAAAACATGGCTAAGAAGCTAAGAAAACTTGTTCTCTCTGCATAACCCCTCCACCACCTTGGTATTTTAAAAACCTCCTGTGGTGACTAGGGTCCAAATCCTGTCAACACTTACACACATTCTTAATCTCTCAAACAAACCCATTGATTTCTGTGAAATAATCTACTGTAGTACAGTGCAAAGCATGCATAAGTGTTTGCAAGACCAGGGCCAGATGATCATTTCCAGATGAGTGTGTACTGTAAAGAGAGTAGTGGAATCAGTACTCCTGCAAGAAGTGAATTTCAAGGAAGTGAATTCAGCCTAAGGTTATACCACTCAACAGTGGCTTTGCCTGGTGGAGCTAGAATGAAGGACAATTTTTGCCACTGCATCTCAAGAAGAGAAGCCACTGGTATAACGCCTCAGAGGGAATCTGAGAGAGACAAGAGCAATGGTTTTATGTGCTGACACTGAAAGGATTCTCTCCTTGGAACGCTGCTGACCAAGATGGCAAAGCAGAGATTATTTATGTACCTGTGTTATCAGCTGTGACTCCAGTCCTTATCAAAGGGCTGATTTTTATCTGAATCCACAGATTAATTTTGGTACAGTTGTCTTCAGGGGCAAGTAAAGACCACTGTATGTACTGGATCAAAACTGCCAGCTTTTGAAGTGTGCTTCTTTTTCATGATCACAGTAACAGAGAACAAAGCAACTGTAAAAAATGCTGATAAGGTACATTAATAATTTTAAGTCTATTTCCTCTTCATTCAGAGGTAACATTTGCTGATCATTCTGTAGGAAATCACATCTGTTCACATTTTGCTCTGAGTAAGGAGAGATAGATGGGTGTTTTAACATGGGTCTGATCAAGTATTTTAGAAATGGGCTGGCAGACAAAAAGCACATTTCCGCGTGGTGGTGTATTTTACATTTTTAGTTGAAGGTCCCTGTGAAGACATCCCATCTGGGATGGTCACAATCAGCATGGAAGTTTTTCCCAATTTATCAAAGCCAACAGAAATTCATGGGAAAACAAAAGAAGAAGGGTCCATCTTTCTTTACTGGCAGAAAAAGATTAAATTTACAAAGGAGATAGTTGTGTTCCTCTGAGATGTTCTCAATCGCAATTTTATCACCAGAAGAAGCAGACATTTTTGGCCCTGCAACAAAAACACATAAACTTCTGAGAGCCAGATTTTGCTCCATATCTGGAGAGGCCTGGAGAGAAAAACATGAAACCTGGCAGTTTCATTGCACCATAGTGCACACAAAGCTCCTTCTGAGTTACAGTCTACCATCCAGTGTCAACAGAATTCAAAACCTCAGAGTAAAATTCAGCTTAAATCACTGGATTTCATATGGTTCTGGGTTTAGCTGAGGTTTTTATATGCAGTTTCCAGCTAAATTCATAAGTCAGGCCATCATTTCTCAACTAAACTTTTTCCAAAGGTCCCAGAATCTCGGTGAATCCTTAAATAGACACTGACCTGTGATTCAGGTTTCCCATGCAACGTGGAGCCAAGTGAATTTTAATTGTGTGGTTTTGTTGAGGATCCTTCAGGTGAGGCCTGCATGAGGCCTAATTCTGTTTTGTTTGCACCATTCCAGATAAAAGGCAATAAACAACAGGATTGTTGACACTGTTGTCTTCCTTCATGTCTTTGTTTATAACTGTCAGGTAACATGCAGTCTGCTGTCAGACACAGCTGCTGACCACCACAAACCGAATTTGCAGGAGGAACCTGAAAAAATAAAGAGAAAGCAAAAGTATGAGAAAGAATAGATTTTGATTGGATACTAAAGCTAAGTAAACGTGATATGTAATTTATCAAAATGTAAATACAAGCAATGCCAACATATCTTGTTCCTTTAGAATGATATATTTTACCAGAGGGATATTTTAGATATTTCACTTTGTGCCAAGGTAAGTTTAATACCTCTCTAATCTACAACATATGGGTCTTATGACATTACATATTATTTGCATCACCAATAAAACAGCTCATTAATCAAACATGCCACTATAACCTCCAACAGTATAAACTGAAAAATGTGGGTTTTAAAATATTTTTAAGTGGAATTATTTGCTTAAAATACTCCCTTTTGGTACAATAACCATCTGTTAATTTTAACACTGGTCAAGCATACCAAAGATTATTATAAGTCTTCGTTTAATTGAAGTCTTCACTGGAAGAAAAAAAAAAACAAAAAAACAAAAAAACAAAAACCACTGTGGATACATTTTCTTTCCAATTTTCTGATGTTTTTGTTTATTTTTTCATCAATGTGGAAGTTCAGAATAGGATCACTGTGAAGTAAACAATATCTATTCTCTGTGTAATTATACGCTATTTTACTCAAGCTAGGTCGTTCTATTTTGAATGAAAACCAAATTTGTACACAAATAGATCATTTTCTCCATAAAATCACATACTGTAATGAAACATTTGTGTGAAATAGGAAAATATATGCACTGTTCAGAACTCTCAATTCAGCTTTTGGCTTGCAACAGTTTCAGTCAGAAAATAGACATAAAAGTATTTCAGGTAGAATTTATAAGCATTTCAACATAAAACACATTAATTTAAGACAATAGGAATGGCTTTTTTCTTAAACAAAGACAAGCAATCTGAACTCTGTTTTTATTACTGTATTATGGAAAGTGAATATTCCAATAAGCATTTTGCATGCATTTGCATTAATCAGTCTGGCAAGTGTCAGTGCCCAAGTGAACGTGGATTTTGCTGGTCTCTATTCAAACAAAAAAAAATCTGTCCCTTTGTCTACCAGATTTCATCTCCAGTACTTAACTAGGTCCTGAATTGAAAAGCATTTAAGAGTAGCGTTGGCTTTGGCACGTTTACTAAATCCTTTTTAAAATAATGAGAAAGTGAGATTATAAGTAAAGATTTTCTAACCAGTAATAGTTTGCCAAGTCAAAGGTATAGTTATCTTCATGACAGCTATTGGTTGACAGTCATAAAAGTACATCTAAAGAAACATGGATAAAAGTATGGGAGAGGAGTGTGTGCAAATGTCTGTGAATAACCATTATCACTGTAGACTCTGTTCATGATTTTCATTTTCACAGCTCACATAATCTCTCAATTTTAGTCTCCTGTCTGTAAAACAAGCACAACAATACCATTCTGATTAGAGTGATGTGAGACTAAAACATTCATGAGGCACTTTCAGAACCTACAATGAAAGGCACTATAAAATCACAAAGTGTTACTGCTGTTTATTAGAAAGCACATCCTATTACAACTCCCTAACACTCTCCATTACAGTGATTATTTTGAAAACAAAAAACTGGTCTCATTAAGTACAGCCAAGCTTTATTTAGCTGAAATGAGAACCCTGAAATTTCATCTAGTACTCCAAGAGACTTTTAAAATTTCAGAAAAAGCTCAAGAACCTATTTTTGCAAATTTAAGATGAGTCAAATGTAACCAAACTGAGAGCTCATTCTGCAAATGTTTACACATGTACTTGGGTTTAGGAAGGTTTCCAGTGAGGCTACTGGCATGTATAAATTTAAGCAAATACATCGCTATTTGTAGACTCAGAGTCTAAGAAAACTTTTCTTTTTAAATTAATTATTTTTAATAATTATAGTGTAATAATTATAGCACTGAAAATTATATCAATTAATTATTTTCCTGCTGGAAATACTTCAAAACTCCCTAGATATTTTAATACCTAAGAGTTCATCAAAAATCATATTTTCCAAAACGTCAGAACAAGTACACTGAACCAGCCAAGAGAGGATTAAAAGGACTGAAAAAAGTGAATGTTGCACTGGGTGTCTGCCTAATGTAAATTTTAATGTAAATTAGGTGTCATGCTACCTAATTATCGTGAAATAATAAAATACACCCAAAGAGTGCTATATTTTTTAGCTCTGGGTTCTGATGTCACACACAGGCTGTTGAAGTAATATTGTCATCAGAAACCCTTGATAAAAAACAGTTGTATTTAATACAGTTGATTGCAGATTCATCTCTCTCAATTGCAAATCTAACGCAGAGTATCATGAGAGTCACTAAATTATATAACTGCTCATGCAAAACCACATGATACCCATAATGGCCCCTCATAAATCTGGAATGTTTTGCTGTCTCCCCCCCTTCTTAAACATCCAAAGTTGGGTATATTTCTTTTCAAATGTTTTATTTAAGTGTACTAATCTTTTTTCTCCACTGCTGTCTGTCAAGTTATCATTGGGGTAAAGGTTCAGTAATGTTCACTGGTCATAGCAGGAAAGCAAAGCCTGCAGACAATACTTGCCATCAGCAAGAGGTAGAGTTGAGCTGCCTGCTTCTTAAACCTAAATATGGCAAAAAGGAACAAGTACAATGTTTCAGAGAACCAGTTTGTGGTAGCTTGGATCTAAAAAGAAAGTCTGGGAGGCCAGATGTCTCAATGGAAAACATTTAAAGTTTTGCTACTGTTTCTAAATAACAATAAAACACATAATAAAATCTCCACTATATGAAGAAAAAAAAAATAAAGTACACCCCACAAGATCTGAGAAAATTAGTTGTATTTTTCCCATCAAAAAAAATGCCAATCCATTAAAAAAAATAATAATAAAAAAAATCCAGAAATGTCTCAATTTTCATGATCTTTGACCAGAACACATGGAAGGTTGCAGTGAGTTAAGGCAAAGTAAAAGCTGCTAACAGCTCTATTTTCTCATTGCAAAAAAATGAATCATGCCATCTCTGTCTTTCTCAAAGCATTATTTTTCTTAAAATGCCATATTTTCTGACTGCCCAGGTCTCCAGCAGCCAGTGGAGGACACTCATTAAGAGCTTGCTTCACCCAGCCCTTGAATAGCTGCTTCATGATGAGGACTAACCAGATAGCTTCTTTGAGAGTTAAGAGAAAAGCATGGGTTTATTCCTCTAAGCTATGCAGTTTAGCCTATCAAATGATCTGCAGTGGGGACCTGTTCTGTTCTTCTCAAGGGATTTCTGTTCTCAGTGACGTGACTTCACGTGCTGTGGCTCATACAGATCTTAGCAGGTGACACCAGGGCTTTGCTTGAAGGAGCCTGGTGTTACCTGTACTTGCAGGTAAAAGGTAGATGAATTAGGTGTCAGTACACAGCTGGTCACACATTTGTCTCCTAATGCTCCCAACACCTACATCCAGCCCACCTCTGAACATGGCTTTTTGTTCAGTCACTTAATGAGAGGAGTTTGGTTTTGAGTGCATGCTTAGAATGAAGGGTCTCTTTAGTCACGCTATGTCTGTTCATACAGATTATCCCTTATGCACCCCAGGGTGTCTCCCCTGTGGAAAAAAAATATCATTAAGAATGAAATCTTGACCTTTTTTTCCCACTTGTGGTTTGACATCTTTTTTAATCTGTCCAGATTCTCTCCCTGTCTTGACAGTGCACTTACATTTTCTTCCAAGATACAGCCAGAGAAATCTCTTAAATTCAGAAATTGCAGGGGAGAAAAATATCTGTAGACAGATCTCTATCTCTACTGCTATACCACCTACTGCTTGCTTCACATCTTCCCAGTATTTTTCAGGTTTAAGAAAAGTACTTTTTTGTTCTTTTCAAAGCTATATCATAGAACACATGAAGCTGAAAATCTTTCAGCTAACTTCATATGTTCAGTGCTGAGAACTACAAGCAGACAATAAAAGCAAACAACCAAATAAAAAACAATAAAAGCAAACAACCAAAAGCAAGCCCCCCTATCAAGTGCCACCGTGTCAGAATTTCCACACAAATGAGTGGTTATATTTTACTATAATTTTGTAGACTTGCACAAAATACACGTGAGTGTGTCTTCATGAAACCATCTAATCTACCCTTCTCACGTCAAAATCAATCCTATTTAAACCATCCATCACCTTTGCTTTGACTTCCTTAAATTCCAGTTGTATTCCGATTTCATGTCACCTGAAACACATGTTGATACGAAAGTATTTTTTCACTTGCTGTGTTTTTCCCCTCTTTCTCTCTATTGCTGTTAAAGAAAACTCACAGTTGCTTGCCCTAAGTGCAGGGATATGATACAAGTTTTAGTACTCTAAGTCAGTTGTGGTAAATTAAATTATTTTTCTACCACACTCCTGATGTCCAGGCTAAAGAAGTTGAAGTGGCAGTCAATAAACTTTTTTTTGAAGACAAAAGGAAGTTAGTGTCATAGAAAGAATTCTTTTTGGTTTAAAATATATATATACGTATAAAAATAATTTTAAAAATCACTTATCCAAAGCAGTTTTCCTTTTAGCTACCACCTGGAAGAAAGAAGCCTGCATTTAAGCTGTGCAGTCTGAGAAGTGTGTCAGTATTTTGAATGTATTCAAAACCTACTCATTAAAACTCTTGATTTTACAGCCTTGATCCTAGCAAGACTGGCTGCATTTTAGAGCACAGGAAGTTCCGCACTGAGATGCGAAAGAACTTCTTCACGGTGAGGGTGACGGAGCATTGGAACAGGCTGCCTAGGGAGGCTGTGAAGTCTCCTTCTCTGGAGATATTCAAGGCCTGTCTAGATGCCTACCTGGGCAGCCTGCTCTGAGGAACCTGCTTTGGCAGGGGGGTTGGACCCGATGATCTTCCGAGGTCCCTTCCAACCCCTACAGTTCTGTGATTCTGTGAAGACAAAATAAGACTGTTTCTCCTCCTTCCCTGTGTACAAAAAATTTACATAGAGCCCTATACAATTTCACTGCTTACCAATTCATTTTGGGCTCTGTTCCAAAATTATCC